GGTAGGTTTCAGCGCCGTGCAGGAAGTCGATCGCTCACCAACTTATTCGCCAACCATCAACACCCTTTTAGACACATTAAGGCACACAGAGCAGTATCAAGCTATAGGGAAAGTGAGGCTGACAACGGGGAATCTATTCACACACTCACCCAGCCGCACATCCTCACAAGCATCAAGTAGTAGGTACACTCAAGCTGTCTTGCATTCATTCAATCACTGAATCACACGAAATAGTTATTCATTCATGCGTATTTTGTAGCCCATCTCGCACACACACACCGCTGGGCGAAGAGTAGATCTGACGAAAAGTGTCGGATGCTGTTACTCATTGACTGCTCATTCAACCAAACTTACATTCTCCAAATCCTGTATGCACTCAGTTGGTCAGGTCTTTCGCCCATTCTGCAATCATCCAATCACTGGATTGTACAAAAGCCATTGCATTTTTCATGGGAAAGCAGTCAATCGTAAATAGGCTGAACTTTCGTTTCCTATTGGAATCACGGATTTGTGTTAGCGACAAATCATCATCATAATTTCCATATGAAATATGCACTTTTTTAAATGGTCTACTTGCATGTGAGTGTCTTGATAATTGCACATTTTTTGTATATTTATATCAATTTGCTTATGAGCCATTTAGGAAATGAAGTAAAAGATTGCGATCTACGGGATCGCTGAATAACATTCTTTGAAATAAACAATGTGCTCAATCTTGGATGGCTACCACTAATGAAATTCACAACTGCGCGATCACATTCCGACTCTCAAGAGATGCGGGCATCAAGATTCGGTACCATGTTTGGTTGCGATCAAAGCTATAATAATCTGCCAAAATCGCCAAATGTTTGGTTCAAATATACATTTTTCTTCTTCTATTGCAAAAAGTTGTCGAATTTTCCGTCAAATCGACTTAGTCTGATTGGTTGTGACTTCTACCTCCAGAGGAGATTCCCAATGCTACTGTATTTATTTGCTCTTTTTTGTTCCAGTCTGTGATCCTGGCACTTGGGGCAACCAATGCCTGTCTCAGTGCGCCTGCGGCCTTGACTCCGGCGGCCGAAGGATAGCTTGTGATCCGATATCGGGCCGTTGTCCTTGTAAGGCTGGCTACCAAGGCGCCAAATGCAACATACGTAAGAATATATTACTAATAGCCTTTTATAAGTAGTCTGGCAAAATGTCAAAAGCAGATACATTGTGAAATGTTTGGTAAAGTCTGCTCTGGCGCCTGTTTTAATGGCTTTAATTTGGGCATGCTAGCGGACCATTAAAAGATCAAATAAGCTGGGTGCCTCAAGACTCGTGCTGTAGAGGAGAGGAGTAAGGCAGAGCTGGTTGAACGACTTGAGTAATTATGATGCCAAATAGGGTGATCGGATAAAACTCCTAAAAGAATGGTTTATGCCTTTGAGAAGGCGTCTCGTCAAAACTTTGTGGCCATTCTGAACTGGGGTGGTAAAAAACTTGATATCTTTTTCATAAGAAGCGCTTGGAGTCACGCTGTAGTGTAGTCACTTCAACTTTGTTCGAGTTGACGGGATCTGTTGTACGACCTAACCCACTCATAAAGTCGAGGGGTCCTCAGGCGCTTCTTGCCCCTCAGAAAAGTCTAAAGAGCAGTGTGCTTAAGGTCAACTATTATTTTGTGGATAATTTTACAATAAAATAAAATACTACTGAATTAACTAATTAGTAGCACGCGAAGAATGTGAGCGTGTGTGCATGTGCTCGTATATGTACAAAAAAGCTGTGATGGATCAATGTAATTGAGATGGAAAATAACCTTATTTCACTAGCCGTCAAGCACAAATCCATTTTCTGTATATTTTAGCCATCACTCCGAGTGCATCATCTCGTACACATGTCGGGTTGAATTGATGTTATTTTTGTCCCAGTGTGACAAATAAAGGATGCTTTTCAGATGTATAGAACCAAGAGAAGAAGATAATAGTTTAGTCGCCTCCTTAAATCGCCCGGCTTAACAGCTTATTTATCCTAGGCATATCAATCAACTTTCAATGATTGTTTTTTTCTTTTCGGTATTCTAATCATTATTAGCATTTCAGTAGTCTTTAATTTTGCGCTTACATGCAGACATGAAATAATCAACAGAGGGACGAATTCGATACCAATTATTTGCTGTACAATTTCTGACGCATACTGCGCTAGCTGAGATTTTAAAACTAATCAGACAATACAGGAGCTTTTGTGCCCAGCCATGCTTTTCAAATGGGAAGTCAAGCCTTTCCAACATAAATTAGACCAAATGAACACATCATTTTCTAGCAACCCGACCTGGATAATGGCTCAAATTTCTCTCTATAAGTGGGAGTAACGGAAGAAAGTATCTTTTTAGAGTGTTTTCATTAATTGATCTAATGCTACTTTCAATCAGACCTACGGGATAAATATTCTCAAATAATATTAGTTTGATCCGATTCTGTTGATTATCACAATAGTCTCTATCGGCTAGTCTTTTGCTGCGTAGAATCTTAGATTTAAAACTCCAACCTTATTTTGTAACGATTCTTGTAGAAGAAAGTAAGGATAAAGTTTTCTGCATGCATTCCCGCTTAAATTCTATCCTGCTCTGATGATTAAAACGTCAAAAAATGGCAAATAATTGTCCTTCTCTATCTCTAATGTCAACTTAATATTGCAATAAATCTGGTTGATTAAGAACCAGAAATTATCTAAACTATCCCTACAATGCTGCCATATGACAAAGTGGTCATCCATCTCATCTAACCAACAGTTTCGGTACCAATCTTACCTCTTCCATGAAGCGGTCCTCAATTCTTGAGATGTTGTTCTCAGTAAAATG